ACTCGATCAAATGCTTTCGCGAAGTCGAGATAAATCACATCCACCGCATCCCCTTCGTCAACTGTACTGGTCCGGATAAACTGTATAGCTTCTATAAAGAAAGGAGTATATGTGAAGGCCAAACTGAATGGATGTCTCCAGATTGGTGATCGATTAGTCATTTGGGTTGTTCACATACCAAATAATGGAACTGTTAAATTCACCCTAATGTTACTCAGAGGTACTCTGAGTAATTGAACCTTGTCCACTATGTGAATACTGCTTTTAATTGCTCACATAAGTGGGTAGTGTTGGCTTCATCAATTCTATCACTAAACTCGGATTGCGAAATTGATCAGACTGGATCATTTCGATGATACTTTTGACGAATTGCTTAGATTAACAAGACAATATTTCATTCCTCAGTAGCTTAAACCCTAATGGAGCTCCTCGGGACCACTATACATGTTTTATTCATTCGTCCTCACAATTAGTGATAGCCTTCACAGATTTCACACAATTCTAAGCTATATTCACAATGTTCACCGCTAGGTTTATGCTATATCGTAAAGGCAGATTCTAAACTACAGGTTTGTGTGGTTCTCCAACTGTATAATAATAATGAAAGTGGATAATGATGCATTGCGTCACAAATGTGGAACAAATGAAGCGTGAACTGTAAAAGTACACAGTATTAGACAGCTATTTCCATTTGGTTTGGTCTCATTAGCAGTGAGAATTGATCGACCCACTCGAGGATCGAGCCCGGGACCTGAACACAAGTAGAGCGATCGAGCACATTATCTAGCAGCAGCCGATCAGACCTCTATTCACTTCATAACAGCACACATCATGGCAAGCTTGTTACATGGGAAACGTTCCAAACATGATTACTTGATACCATTGTTATTGGGCCAAAATTATTAATGTCCCTCCCTTCAAGCAGTTTGATCTCAAAATAAATTAGAACAAGACAGCGATTGCTATCAATTTCCAGCACATTCTTCAGTCTTTCCGTTCAACGGGTGACGGAGTCCTTTTAATCCCGGGACATCTATTCCGTTTAACATCAGACCGATTCTATCTATGACGAACTCACCACAGCACAAAATGGCGAAATGGCTGGTTAAAGTGTTAGAACCAATTCATAGATCAATGGTCAAGCATACAGTCAAGGACAGTTTTGAATTGGTGGATATTTTAAACAAGAT